CTTCCACAAAGCCATCAGTCTCAGGTGGGGCTGGGAGGGTCCGCACTAAGAGGTAGAGGTAGATTTAGGAGCAGGGGGTATCTCATGGCTGTGAGTGGGGGCGGTGGAGCTGCAGTGTTGCCTTGGTCTGCCAGCCCAGGTGTAAGCTGAACCCCTGGGTGGAAAGAATTCCCTCGGGGGCTCATGCCCGTGGTCATCAGCTCACAATCCAGACAGATGTCAAGCCCGACAGACACCAAGGGGAGTTTAGCCTGTTAGTGGTAGCATCTGTCTAATTCCTATCAGGTAAGAGGAGGGCACAGTCTCTCTGGGTTCCAGGGTAGCACAATGGGTCTGTGCTGGAGTAGTGGCAAGTGAGCTCCACCCCAGAGCTTCCCCTCATGGTCCTCAGTCCACAGTGCATTGTTAAGGAATGGACGCTCCTTTGTTCCAAGTCCTGTGCTAGGTCTGAATGTGATGTGACCCCCTCCTTCTGAGGAGCTGTCCTACCTTCCTCCCAGGAGACCTTCCTCTGTGGAGATTGTCAGTTCTATCTCCAGGTCCAGGGCAGGGAGACAGATGCCCAGAGAGTCAAGTATATGCCCCAGGCCCAGGGTCGACAGGTGCTTGTTCTCATTCTCATTTCCTCCCTAGGAATCCACCTGTCAATAGGTGTGGCCTGAACCCACTCTTTAATTAGTGCCCATTAGCATGCTGTGGGGAACACTCGGTGGCCTCATCCTCTAGGAGCTACATATTTTTGATGAGGAGACCAAACAAAACGCACGTGAAATTGAGAACAAGCTGTGACCTTGACTCATCTCTTAGCTTCTCTGGATTACAGAATCCTCGTTTTATACAATAAGCAGGTTACCCTTGACTATCTTCAAGGCCCCTTTCAAGTCTATTCTTCTACAACTGTATGGGCTGTCCATGCGAGGTCCATCAGGCACCATGAGTTTGTAGAAGGTGACAGCACACCAGAGAACACTTAGCCCAGCAGTGGGAAGGCCTGTCTACATCCAGGCAGGTGAGTGGGTGGGAAGATATATTGCAGAGGTAGCTGGCTGCATTTATTTGTCTGCAGGGGCTGGGAGAGTGCTTGTTGAGAGGGACCCTGCGGAGTCCCCCAGCTTCCAGGAGGGTCATGGGGACAGAAATCAGGCAGGAGAGCCCGGCAGAGTGGGAACTCAAGACCGCTGCTCCCCTGTGACCCACACAGTGGTGGTGGAGGGAGCTCCTCTCCCTACCCCTCTCCCACTCTGCCCCCCACCCACCAGCACTGGGAGGAGAGAACTGGTTTCATAGTAGGGCAACGGTCCCCTGGGGCCCTCTTGACTTGTGAGACAGATTCTGGAGGAAAGCCAAGGAGCTCAAAAGGATTCCTCCAGCCTTCCCTGAAGCCTGTTTCCAAGGAACCTGACTTAGTCTCCGGCACTGGCATAGCATCCCTTGAGAAGTCACCTCCATTCATGAGAGCCTCTTAGTGGCAGCAAGATGGAGGACTGCTAACTCCTGCTGACTTCCAGATTGTAGGGGAAGCCCCTTTCCAAGCTAGACATCTGGTCTCCTGGAATACTTTTCAAAGTCATTTCCATTGGGTTTGAGGAGAAGGAAGGGAGGAAGGAAGGAAGGAAGGAAGGAAGGAAGGAAGGAAGGAGGGAGGAAGGAAGGAAGGAAGAAGGAAGGAAGGAAGGAAGGAAGGAAGGAAGGAAGGAAGGAAGGAAGGAAAGGAGGAGGAATGGAGGGAGGTAAAAGGAGGAAGAAGAAGGAAGGTAAGGAAGAAGGAGGCAAGGAAAGAAGGAAGGAAGGAAGGAAGGAAGGAGAGCTTCAATCCCAGGCAGTCCTCCACAGAGCACCACTGGCTGCTGGCAGGGGTGATGGGAACTTCCCAGCATTTCTGCTGCACAGAGTCCTGGTTGTGGTGGCCCTGGCCTGGCTGTGGTGGAACTGGGCTCTGGGGAGAGAGGCTGCCACAGCTAGCTTGCAGGTAAAGGCAGGAGAAGGATGTTCCCTGAGCTCTGTGATATCTGGGTAGCTGTGCAAGACCTCCAGCATGAAGGCCACAGACGAGTGGAGGCTCCTTTGCTGTGTGGTAGCCTCTGTGCCGGGCCCTGTGCTGGGGGCTGTCACCACTGTTTTGTTGAGTCATCGATGTAGACCCAAGAAGAAAAGTGAGGCTCAGAGAAGGTAAGAGAATTTGCCCAAGGTCACCCAGCTATGAGTGAGACAGGCCAGTGTAGAACAAGCAACAGGTATGGGTGTGGGCCTTGATAGAACCCTCTGCTCACTATGGGACCTTCAGAGCTGGCCTCACTTTCCCCGTCAGTCAGCTGGTGGCAGTAACACCTACTGTCAGGGCTGTGGGGAAGATCAAGTGAGTGAATGTATGTGGATGTGTTATACATGTTGTATAAACATAAATGACAGCGCCTACACAGTGCCTTGCATGTAATATGTGGGGGAGAAAATTGGTTGGCACAGACTATATGTTTCTTATTAGTTTAAAATAGAGTATACACACAAATTCACACGCCTTCTCGTACTCACTCACAGCGTGATGACAACCATGTTTAGGTGATTCAAAGCTGGCAGGGTGGCTTTCCATGACTTCCTTGTGGCTGTGGCAGGCATGAGTTCCCCTGGGATCCCTGAGCACCCGGTAGTTTTGCCAATTCAAGCTCAGAGTCAACCAGCTGGGAGTGGGGCTTCCTAAGTGCCCGTGGTTGTTCTCATGTAAGTTTTCCCATCTAATCCAGTGTGGGAGGCTGTCAGGGGCCTGGGGTGAGGTGGGGGTTGGTCTCCACCAGGTCCTGTTGGCTTGAAGCAGGCCTTGGTTCCCTTCTTGCTAGTCACATTCACTAGATAGATTTTTACTGAGTGCCTTCTACGTGTCAGACCCTGCGGAGGCGCTAGGGATATGACCGTGAACTAGACAGATGGGTTCCTGTCGGGAGGGCTCACAGACCATGGGAGAGGAAGACGTTCAAGTTCTGTGGGTAATTAGTTAAACCACAAGAGCCATCCGGAAGTCCAGGAAGCTGTGAGGGCCTCAACAGGGAGCATGACCTACTGTGGGGGTCCGGGGGGTTTTGGAGGGCATCCTGGAGGAAGGGAGCTTCAAGCTAAGGCATGAAGGGAGACTGCCCGTGAACTAGGTAAGAGCAGACACAGGAACTCTAGTCACCTCGGGCTGGGCTGGCCTGACCTCATGCTGAGTTTTGTCCCTCCTGTGGGGCCCTTCCTAGGGAGAGTGTGGACCAGCCCCTTCTTCCCCAGTGCCTTGTTTTCCATCCCAGGCAAGGGCAGAGCAAGGTGGGAGGAAGACAGTCGGGCACCAGGAGAATGCTGCCAGGGATTCTGCTCTCACCCGAGCTTCCCTGTCGCATCACAGAGCAGGATGCAATTCCCACAACCCCTGTCCCCCTCGTCTGCCATCCTATGCTCCTTGAGGACGTGGTTTTCAGGGAGCCTTTAGAAAATTCAGGCATCCCTTCCGCATTCTTCCTACAGCCCCAGTTAGGGCCCTGGTGATACCCTAGGGCTTCCTTGCAATGCTCATGTTCACGGTTTACCTAAGTCTGATTTCTGGAAAGCCCTCATGGGCAGCAGCTGTGATGGGGGGAGAAATGACTCAGCCCATTTTGCTCAGCACCAGCCACAGAGGGACTGTGTCTTCTGAGGACTTGGTGCAGTGACCAGGGCTGTGTCTTCCCTTTGGAAACACTGAGGGAAATTTGTGAATATTTTGCAGTCTTGTAATTTGGAGAGGGGCAGTGAGGAGAGGCAGCAGAGGGAGGCTAGAGAAAGACTGATGGATTTAAGTGACAAGGGCTATAAATCCACAGTTACATGGATATGAAAAGGAAAGCCAGTGGCCTCCTGCCTAGGGTTCGGGCATCGTCAGAGTTAGCAAAAGGTACCTGCTTTGGGCTCAGGCAGGCAGGGGTTAAAGCCCAGCTTCTGCTGCTTGCTGGCTATGTGATCCTGCGCAACTTCTTAACCTGTCTGAGCCTTAGTTTCTTCCGTTTTGTGAAATTGGAGTAACAATGTCCCTGTGCAGAGGATTCAGTGAGGTAACAGTAAAGATCCTGCTCCAGTCCTGGCCACGGAAGGTGCTCATATGTGTGAGTTCCTTTCCCGTCACCTCCTTCTCTCTCCCCACCGTGCTGCACGGGACCCAGGTACCCCTTCAGAGGCAGGAGGCAGGAGGACGTGCGAGCAGGAACGCTGTGGGCTGTGGGCCTCTCTGGGGAACACAGCTAGAATGGCTGACTAAAGATCCTGAGCTGGCTGGGACAGCAATGTCAGAGCCTGGGGAGGCTTCACAGAAGCAGGAGAAACAGTGCTCTGGGTGTCCTGGAAGAACCAGGCAGCACAGGTGGCCTCAAGGAGGGCTGTGAAGCAGAGAATCTTTGTAACTGGGAGTAGGAAGGAAAGGAGGGAGAGAGGGAGGAAATGAACATTTGTGAATTGTCTACTGTGTTTTGACATTGAGCGAGGTACATTAATGCTCATATTTTTGATTTTATAAATTTAGAAGCATAGAATCTTCAAGTCAGAACATCTCAGAACGAGAAAGGACACGTGAAACCATCCATCCATCCATCCATCCATTCCAACCATCGTATTTTATATGTGGGGAAACTGAAGCTCAGAGAGGGACAGTAACTTACCTAAGGTCACACAGGAAATCAGTGGCAGAGGGTTAGAAACTGCCCAGGGCATGTGGTGGCTTACGCCTGTAATCCCAGCACTTTGGGAGGCCGAGTTGGGGGATCACCTCAGGTTGGGAGCAGCCTGACCAACATGGAGAAATCCTGTCTCTACTAAAAATACAAAATTAGCTGGGCGTGGTGGCGCATGCCTGTAATCCCAGCTACTCGGGAGGCTGAGGCAGGAGAATCGCCTCAGGAGGTGAACCAAGAGGTGGAGGTTGCAGTGAGCCGAGATCGTGCCACTACACTCCAGCCTGGGCAACAGAGCGAAACTCTGTCTCAAGAAAAAAAGAAAGAAAGAAAGTAAGAAAGAGAGAGAGAGAAAGGAAGGAAGGAAGAAAAAGAAAGAAGAAAGGAAAAGAAAGAGAGAAAGAAACTGCCTAGGGCAGGGCAGTTGGGGCAGAGCATAGTCTTTAGAATCAAAGACTGGGCTTAACTACAGAAACACTTGCTATATGACCCAGGAAAACTTGCCTCCTGAGCCTCAGTTCTCTTATCTGTAAGATGGTACAGTAATTCTCAACTCAAGTGGCAGCCAGGACAACGAAAGGAGATAGCCGGTGTAAAGTGCGCGGTGTGGTGTCGGGCTCGGATGGCACAGGTCCTTTGCCTTCAAGCCTTGCCCTCTCCCATGTGTTTCATGGCTCCGGCCACACCTGTAGAACCAACCAGTGAACCCTGTGTTTGTCCCACCGTGTGTCCCCTGGGCTCAATGAACAGAAGGCCTGAGGATTTATTCATTCTTTCATTCACTTATTCCTCAAGTATTTATTAGGTATCCTGAGCATGTGCCCAGCATTATCTTGGTGCCAGGGATGGAAAGGTGAGCAAACTCAGGTGGCTTCTATCCTGATAGGGTTCACAGTTAGATGGCAAACAGAGACGTTACTTTTTAAAAAATCACACGAATAAATGTGAGAATATGAGTGACACACGAGCTTTGAGGAGAAGAGCCTAACACTGTGGGAGCGTTCTTCAACAGGAAGATTTTATCTGGAGAGAGCAGGGCAGGGCCTCCCTGGGGAGTGATGTTTGAGCTGAGCCTGAAGGGAGATAAGGCAAAACTGAGAAAAGATGGAAGGAAAATCGCGTCCCAGGCAGGGGGAACATAGGGTTGAAGGTCCCTGGCAGGGAGGAAGGGCTGTGCCTGCAAGGGCTGACAGGCAGCCGAGGGGCTGCAGCAGAGGGGCGGGTCAGGTGTGAGTCACTGAGCTGTGCCTCAGAGGAGCTTGCGGGAGAACCCCTGGAGTCTGACTCTGAAGCAGGGCTGCACCTGCGGGGAGAGGTGGGTAAACTGAGTCTGAGATTCTGACATGGAGACCAGGCCAGCATTTGGCTATAGTCCTGGACAGAGAAACAGATGTTTCCAAGCCTCAGTTTTTCTGCCCCTAATGAACATAATGACAATAAAAATTATAAATAGATTGCAGATCCATGATGGTGGGGGTGGAGGTAAAAATGAACAAATGCATTAGGTATTTTGCCCTCAGCATATATGTGAATGGCATCAAATTCATTGACGTTAAAACTTAGATGATCTGGGTTTGTAATTGAACAAAAGCCAAAGTCCTCCCCGTGGCTGAATCTCCGCCTCCCCAATTCATGTCCTGTCACTGTCCTGCTCACTCCAGGCACACAGGCCTTCTAGACGCCCCTGTTGTAACTGAAACAGCCATGCATGCTCCTGCCTGAGGGCCCCTGCACGTACTGGTCGTTCTGCCGGGAGCACTCTTTCCCTGGATATCTGCATAGCTTGCTTGCTTGCTTTTTCAGGTTTCCCCTCCAATATCATCTTCTCAATGAGGCTTTCCTCATTTCCCATCTAAAATGAAATCCCTTTTGTCCCCTCCCTGGCTCTCCCTTTCCATCTTTATTTTTCTTTAGAGCGATTGTTGGATTCTGTCTCTTTTTTTCCCCCTCTGCTCTAATCTGGAATAGTACTTGGCTGTAGTAAAAGCCCAGGCAATGTTTGTGGAATGAATGAATGAGTGAATGAATGGGGAGAGCTGTTTGTTCGTGAAATGATGTGTCAGGTTCATTCAAAGACGCTTTTACCCTTACTCTGAAATTGACTCATGGAATGTCAGAATTGGAAGGAACTAAGTCATTGGTCTTTGAGCAACTCTCATTTAACAACTGAGTAAACAGAGGCCCAGGGAGGTACTTCAGGGGCTTGTGAAAGGTCACAGAGCTTGGAGCCAGAATGAGAACCAAAGCCTCTGGGATTTACTCCAGGACTCTTCACGAAGCTTTGGCTTTTTTGCATGACACAGCTCCTGGGGAAAAAAGGGGTTTGCTCTGTGGTCTCCAGCTTCCCGGTGTTCTGCTTCTGGGGCTACATGGCCTGAAGGGCTGTAATTTCACTCCAAGATCTCTGGCACTGCTCCTTGGGCCACCATGCGGGATGTTGGTAAAGGCAGCTATTGGCAACTAACAGGCAGACATACTTCTCTCCCAGGAGGTAAAATGAATGTTTTCTGTCAAGGTCAATCTACAGGAAATGATTATTTAGCTCTGACTTGGTGGAGTCTGCCTAAGGTGGAGAATGCAAGAAGTATCAGATTCTAGTCCTGCACTTTAGGAACTTCTAGTTTAGCTAGGAAGACAATGCTTACTAACATCGATACTAACATTCAAATAATGCTAGCAAACATTAGCTAGTGCTTACCACATACCAGGCACTGTTCTGAAAACTTCATGCCTATTGACTTATTCAGTTCTCACTATGACTCTATGGGGATGTTGCCATACCTCTTTCACATTTAAGTAAACTGAGGCACAGAGAGGTTTAGCAACTTGTTCAAAGCCACACGGCCAGTAAGAGGAGAAGCCAGGATTTGAACCCAGGTGGTCTCTCACCAGCACCTATCCTCTTATACATTAAGTGAAATAACAGCACAAGACAAGAATGCGAGATGCATTACGAAGCAGTAGAGTGAGGTCAAGGGAGGAGGTTACACTGCAGGCTGGAGTAATCTGGAATGGCTTCCTGGGGGAGGTGCTGCCTGAAGGAAGCAGAAGGTTTGGATAGCAGGAGAAAGACTTTGCCCTGCTAGTTTTCCATCCTCAGGTGGAAGGGAACTGTGGTTAGGAGTGTCTGATGAGGGACTTGTGGTAGGGAGGAGTCTCCTCCCTTAATATATACATTTGGGAGCAACAGACCTGAACAAGATCATTTACCAGCTGCCCAGTGAGGGCTGAGAGCAGGACTTGGCACTGGTCTGGCCTCTCTCTCCCATAGAAATAGTTCCCCGTGGGCTTGTGTCATGGGGGCTTTGCCTAGCTTGGTAGAGGAGTCTCTTGGTGATCCCCTCAGGATCTAGCCTTCTTAAATGTTTGGGAGATTCAGAGAAGATCCTCTAAATGGTCTCCAAAATGCCAACATGGCTGCGCCTTCTGTAAAATGGGCCAGTAACCCCATGCTATGGGGGTGCAATGAGCATTTCATGGCTTAATGTTTTTAAGGAATCTGGCCCATTTGCCTTCCGTTACAGACTCCTTCCTTTCTCTGTCCACCTCCCACAATCCCCAGTTCAGCCCAGACTGGCTACCCTCAGTCTTAGCTTGGAGCTGGGACACAGTGAGGTTTCTTTGATCGTGTGACCTGGCTTTTTGGGGCTGCACTAGGGGACAGGCCTAAAGCTGCTCTCCTCGGTGGAGTTACTGATAATGTCCCTCAATTATGTTTGCATTCTAAAACTACATTTGCTTTGTTTTTGAGCCATAAAGCACAAAGAAGTCTCAGTCGGAGGTTGGCTAACCATCCCAGTTTGCCCACAATTGTAATGGCTTTCACACTGAAAGTCTGTGTCTGGGGTCCCCCCCATCTCAGGTAACCTGGGCAGGCAGTTGGTTGCCCTATGAGTCAGGAGAGAGGGAGAGAATGTCGTGGAACTGAAGGCTCATGCACCCACTAAAGGCTGTCCCATTGCCCCCCTTTGTGGCTGAATCTCCCAGAGATAGGCAGATAGATGTCTATGGAAGATCTAACTGAAAGGTAAAAGGCTTTGGCTTCAGACGGACCAGGGTTCAAATCTCCCATCGGCTGTGTACCATCACCTTGACTTTGGCCGAATGTCTTAAGTTGAGCCTCAGTGTCCTCATTTGTAAATGTGGGGACTGCAATAACTATGTCATGGTGCTGTTTTGGGACTCGAATGGCCCAAGGCAAATAAAGTACCTGGCATATTACAGATGTTACATACAACAGGCTAAGCCATCTGAGCCATTACATTTATTCCCAGTGTTGGGTTTGGATGGGAAGAAATAGCCTCTTTCTCTTAGGAAAGCTGGGTTGTGAAACGGGCCTCCCCAGCTCCTCCAAATTCATGGCACCTCGCCCATTTCATAGCACTGTCCTGGCCTGCCAGCAGCTACAGAGAAGGGCCTGGGGAAGGACCCTTGGATTTTTTTGTGGGGAGAGAGGTGAAGATAGGAGAACTGCCGTTGTCCCTGCCCTCAAGGCTGGGCTGAGGGCCAGAATCCTGGGGCTTTAAGTGTGTCTTTTTTCCCTTTCCCTGGCTTATTTGACTTTCTGGAAAATAGGAAGGCTCATTACTGTTGGGAATCAATGAAACTTGCAAGAGGGACCGCGGAGAGCCTCTGGTTAAATTTGGCCTTCTCCGATATGAGGACCTTGATGCCCAGGGAGGTGGTAACTCATCCCAAGATCAGCACCCAGGCTTTCCCGGCCCCTAGCCCAGACACCTCCTGGTTCAACAGGCTTGGGAAGTCCTTTCAGCTCCAAGGGACAAGGCACATGGTGGCTGTAGCATGCAGTGAATCCTTTTTCTGAAAGTAGCTTGCCTGCTTTGAGGATTATTGGTGACGTATATTAAATCCCTGGCCAGCTACCCTCTGCCACTTCAGCCTACTCGCTGAGCCACCTCTCTCTAATGGAGGGTGAGCTGTGCTCATAAGACACTGACTGTTTTTTTAATTAATTTTTTTTTTAAATTGACTCTTTTAAATGGTCACACTAAACTAAGAAGATAAACACCATTTCTAAAGACATTCTAAAATTCACAAAAAGGTGATTTTTTTCAGAGCGAATATTTTTCTGGATTAGCCACTACAGCTGACCTTGCTGAGCTGAGGGCATCAGCAGATTTCATGTGCTCAATGAATGGAGTGTTCGTGAAGTGCCAGTGTGGGCAGGGAACGCTTGCATCCAGAGTGGGGAACGTGAATGGGCTATTACTCTGAGCAAATGTGATCTGTTTCCTGTGGGGGTTTCTTCTGTTGCCTGTGGACCCTCCATTTGCCTCAAATACATTTTCAATTTATTTAGCGCCCACTGTGTTCTAGCCACCACGCAGGGAGATAAAAGATGACAAGATTTGGTCTCTACATGAAGGAGCAGACAGTTTGAGTGGGGAGAGAAGCATGGAAACCACGGAAAGTTTAACGATATTGAAGGAGTTACGTCACGATACCCGAGGGCAGTTCCTCACAAGAGATGTCATAGGACAGAGAAGACTCATTCCCAAATGAGTAACACTCATAAGAGTGATGCTCTCAGAGGAAGGACAGAAAGTGGACTGCAAGGATAGGGGAGACTTCTGGAAGAGGTGGATGGTATGGCAGACCCTTGACACTCATTCCCCTTCAGCAGGCTTGGAATGTGGGGATGACTATCCCCATTTTCACATATGGCAAAGGCCCAAGCCACACAGCTGGTAAGTTGAGATTTGGAATCCAGACCCATCTGCATCCAAACTTTTTCCATTAGAAACTCTGTCTCCCATGAGCCAGGCTTTGAAGGTTGGGTGGGATTGAATAGATAGAGAGAGGGGAGCCATAAACAAGAGTGTGTGTGAGCAAGATAATGAGCAAAGACCCTACTGCGTGGTGGGGCACTGAGTCCACCCGGGTGGAAAGAAGAAAGCAGCCTGCTCTAGGGGAGCATAGCCCGCAGCACTGGGATCCTTGCTGGTTAGAGGCTGGAGCCTCTGGAACCTGCCTGTGCTGATTGCCATTCCCTGCCCTCTGCTCAGAACCTCTTCTTACACTCAGGAGCCTCTGATTGCTTTCCTGGCCTTGTGTTGGAGGCTGGCTAGGCTGGCATCTGTCTCCCAAGAAGACCTAGTAAATCCCCAGTGATAATAGGAATGACAGCAAAACCATCCCGCATCTGTAGAATACTTTTCCGTCTACACAGTCTTTACACTTGAAACCAGGAACAAACCATGAAGAAAGACATCATGATGGGTAGGCAAGGTCCAGGGCTCAAGGAACTTCTGCTCAGACCTCAGAGGACAGGCCAAGGACAAGTGCCCCAGGCAGGTTACTCACTGTTTACCATTTCATGTATGGTACCTTGCACATAATAGGTGCTCAATAAACATGCATTGAGTCCCACCCTGTTTGCAGGTACCTGATTCCAGCACCTCTGCAGAAAGCAAGCAGCATCCCTGACCGTTGCCTCCTGGCATTTGTTCATTGTCCTCAGCCCTGCAGCTCTGTGCCCAGTGGCTCCATGCTTCAGCCCGAGTCAAGGCTGTTGCAAAGCCTGTGTACATTTACAGTTACTGAGTTTGAGCTTGAAAGAAGTCTGGTTTCATTTGTTTGGTTGGGCTCTCTGAGTTCAATTCATTTTACATAAGAAATTACATAATTAACTACACTCTACCTTTTCTATTGTACTTTTCTTGGTGGTTAAATACGCATAACATAAAATTTGCCATTTTAACCATTTTCAAGTATGCAATTCAGTGACATTACATTCACACAGTTGTGCAAACTCCACCATATATATTTCCAAAACATTTTATCACTTCAGACAGAAACTCTATACCTAATAAGCAATAACTCTGCATTCTGCCCTGGTAACCTCTCATCAACTTTCTGTCTCTATGAATTTGACTATTATATATGCTTCATATAAGCAGAATCATAATGTATTTGTCCTTTTGTGTATGGTTGTTTCACTTAGCATAATGTTTTTAAGATTGATCTGTGCTGTAACATGTATCAGAATTTCATTCCTCCTTATAGATGAGTAATATTCCATTGAATGTAGATGCCACATTTTGTTCATCCATTCATCTGTTGATAGACATGTAGGTTGTTTCCACTTTCTGGCTATTGTAAGCAATGCTGCAAGTATTGCATATCAATACTTACATTGATATGCAAGTATCATTTGAGTACCTGTTTTCAGTTCTTTTGGACATATACCTAGTAGTGGAATCGCTGGATCACATTCTAATTAATTCTAAGTTTAACTTTTTGAGGAACCACCAAACTATTTTCTACAACAGCTGCACCATTTTACATTCCCATCAGCAATGCACAAGAATCTCAGTTTTTTCACATGCTGACCAACATTTGTTATTTTCTGTTTTTTTTTTTTTTTTTTTTTTAATTGTAGCCATTATAGTATCTCATTGTGAAGATAGAATGTGAAGTGGTATCTCATTGTGGTTTTGATTTTCATTTTCCTAATGTTGAATGATGTTGAATGTCTTTTCATTATTAGACATTTGTATATCTTTTTTGGAGCAAGATCTAGTCAAATTCTATGCCCATTTTTAAATTGGGTTGTTTATGTTTTTGTTGTTGTGTTGTAGGACTTCTTTATATATTCTGGATATTAACCCCTTATCAGGGAAAATACGCAAATATTTTCTCCCATTCTGGAGGTTTCTTTTTTACTTCATGATAATGTCCTTTGGAACAGGCACAGTGGTTCATGCCTGTAATCTCAGAACTTTGGGAGACTGAGGCGGGCAGATCACTTGAGCCCAGGAGTTTGAGACTAGTCTGGGCAACATGGTGAGACTCTGTCTCCACAAAAAAATAAAAAATTAGCTGGGCATGGTGGCATGTGCCTGTAGTCCCAGCTACTCAGGAGGTTGAGGTGGGAGGATAGATTGAGCCCAGGAATTTAAGGCTACAATGAACTGTGATTGCACCACTGCACTCCAGCCTGAGTGGCAGAAAGAGACCTGGTCTCAACAAACAAACAAAAACAAATAGATATTGTCCTTTGATGCACAAAAGCTTTTAATTTTGATGAAGTCTAATTTATATATTTTTCTTTTGTTGCTTATGCTTTTGGTGACATAGCTAAGAATCACTGTCAAATCCAAGGTCATGAAGATTTATCACTTTTATTTTCTTCTAAGAGTATTGTAGCTTTAACTCTTATATTTAGGTTGTTGATCCATTTTGAGTTATTTTTTGTATGGGGTGTGAGGTAGGGGTCCAAATTTATTCTTTTGCATATGGAAATCAGTTTTCTCAGCACCATTTATTGAAGAGATTGTTCTTTCCCCATTGAATGGACTTGCCCACCTTGCCAATGATCAATGTGGCCATAGCTGTTTGGCTTTATCTCTGGACTCTTGACTCAATTCCACCAGTCTAGATATCCATCCCCATACCAGTATCATGTTGTTTTGATTACTGTAGATTTACAGTAAAATTTAAAGTTGGGAAGTGTGAGATTTCCAAGTTTGTTCCTCTTTTTCAAGATTATTTTAGCTATTCAAGGCCCCTTGCAATTCCATTTGAAGTTGAGATTAACTTTTCCACTTTTTTCAAGAGACTGTGGAATTCTGATAGGGATTTCTTTGAATCTGCAGATTGTTTGTTAGATGTATTGACATCTAAGCAATATTAAATCTTTCTATCCATGAACATGGTATGTCTTTTCTTTTCTTTAAATCTAATTTCAGCAATGTTTTGTAGTTTTTAGTATACAAGTCTTTCATCATCTTGGTTAAATTTATTTCTAGATTTTAAAAATATGCTATTTTAAATAGAATTGTATTTTTAATTTTCTCTTCAGCTTGTTCACTGCTGGTATATAGAAACACAAACTGTATACTTTGCTGAATGCTTATTAGTTCTAGTAACTTTCTTGTGGATTCTTTTGGATTTTCTATATACAGGGTCATGTCATCTATGAATAGAAACAGTTTTACTTTTTCCTTTTCAATTTGGATGCCTTTTATTTCTTTTTTCTTTTTTTTTTTCCTAATTACTCTGGCTAGAACTTCCAGCCAATATTGAACAGCAGGTGAAAGAGGCATCCTGTCTTATTTCTGATATTAGGAGGAAAGCTTTCTTTCTCACCACTGAGTATGATGTTAGCTTTCTACTGCCCTTTTGATGATGGGTCACTCTAGTGGCCTGGACCAGGTGGGAATGGAGGCACCCATCTGATTTATTACCCAACAAATGGGTTTCTCCTGATGGAGAATCATATTTGGAGTCTTGTTCAGAGCAAATACCCACTAATCAGAAAATACCAATTTCATGGGGGCACTAATCACACTGTTAAAATGTCAGCTGAACTGAAGCCCAAACATTTGTTAAGCTCCTACTATGTTGCAGGCACTTTTATTACCTCATTTGATTCTAAAACAGCCCTTGGAGACAAGCTTTTTATTATTACCACCCCCATTTTAGAGGGGAGGAAATGAATGCTAAGAGAGTGAGGTGATTCATACAGCTGGTAAGTGTTCATAGGAAGTTAGGTGTATGTGGCAAGTTTTCTGATTTGTAAATGGACTTGTTTTCTATCCAGTCATTCTCAAGGGGAGAGAGGACTGCACGCCTTTGTGGAGTGAATCAGAACCTCCCTGGGGGTGGGTTGGAGAACTAGGGAAGGCTTTCTCAAAGATACTGCACCTCTCAGCCTGTTCTGATAGATCATGTCTTCTGGAGTCTTTCACTCCCATTAGAAATTCATTGCTGCAAGGATTCACTGTGACTGACAAGAGCTTGCTGCAACTGTCACGAGTGTGCCACGGTAAAAAGCTTGTGAGTCACTGCAAACTATAGCATCTTCTTTCTTTTGTGATGTTGGTGTTAACAGATGAGTCTGAGAGACATGTAGAGTTGATTCTATCAGAAGGTTCCAAGAGGTAACTGTTTCTGAGGATTGGGAACAAATTGTTTGCAGCTCAAGGAGAGCTTCTGACCCAGCAACTTTTGTCCTATCCCAGACCCCTGTGCTGTTAACTCGCTGGTAATCAACACTCTCAGGGAGATTAGCTTTATCAAGTAACTGCAGCCACAGGTACTTGGATAATTCATAGCCAATGGTTAGTTTCTGCCTCAAATTTCTGGGTCACTGGAGCTGTGTAAGATCCTATTCTGGACAGTGATATGAGACCCAGCTAGTGGCCTGTACATTCCTCCTCATGCACCTTTTTTTTTTTTTTTTTTAAGTGTGAGCATGAGCCCAGAACAGAGTCCCCATGAAAGGACGTGGCACTCTGCAGAAAAGTCCTGAGGTTTTCTGAGTCCTGTGCTGGTGCTAATTCCCAGTGTGGACAGGACACAGCAGGAGTTGCTGGCCGATGGTCTGATTGGAAGACACCTAAGCACAAAAGTCCCAATCAACTTAGGGCAAGGGAAGGCTGAGTTTTTGCTCTCTTGATATTTTGGGGTTGACTTTCCTCTTTCTTTTGTTCTCATCTGCTGCACTATGGTCAGAAAGAGGGGTAGAAGGTGAATTAAGTTCCCTGCTTCTTCCATCCAGCTTGGAGCAGGGTTCACTGAGTTTCCTCTACCTGTCTGGCCATTCGGTGCCACATTTATGTTTTCAGCCCACATTGGAGTCATTGGTTCATGATGAGACTTCCTGGGCTGCAGATGGCCCAGGGGATAGGAACAAGCCCACCAAGGGATACTTCTATTGAAATTCTAAGTACATATATATAAA